TATTCAGCAAATAGAGATTGGCTATTATATCTGGGTTCATATTCCAACAAGAAAGGCCGTTTCTTCAAATTGGGATTTTCCCGAAGGGAAATCTTTATTTGGGCATGGAGATGTCATAAAAACTGGAGATTGAGAAGTTAGTAGAGGACCAAGAGATCCTGCATAAGTTACTATGGGTTTGGAAGGTGGAGAAGGTGGGTAACTTATTAATGGAGATCCTACAGATGGGGATGGAACAATTTCCATCTTCCCTTTGCCTTTATTTTGAGTATTCATATTTATTATTTGATTCAGCTGCTGCTGCTGGTTATCACTATTCCTTCCCTCCCTACAAAAATTCACGAGTGAGAAAGTCGGAAAGAGAGTTAGCAGAACCGTGAAAGTGTTGAATATCAAAATCAAAAGAAGAAAGAATAGCTTGCCAACGGGCAAAAATTTGTTTAGAAACCAAATTTTTAACATCTTTTAATAAAATATCACGAGCGGCTTTACAATCTGAGTATTAAGAATTTTTAATTGAGTATGTCACCCTGAAATTTTGTTACACAATGTACTATTGCTAAGATTTCTTTTTTAATAGTAGAATATTTTTGTTGAGTAGAATTCCAAGCTTTTGATGTAAACCAAACGAGTTGTTCAGCATTGTCCTTTTGTTGTTTAAGAATTCCACCAATTCCAATATCGGAAGCATCACATTCTATTATTTTGAAGGTATTAGGGTCTGATAAGGTTAAGCACGGTAATTCCTTAGCATGTTTTTTTTATCTTTTTTACTGTAAGAGTATGTTCATCTGTCCATTTGGAAGGATTTTTCTTCAATCTATCAAATAATGGTTTTGCATCAATAGCTAAATTTTTATAAAAATCTCCAATATAATTTAAACATCCCAGAAACCTTTGTAGTTAGATTTTATTAAGAATAATATCTGAGAATTTGTCTGCAAATTCTATAGCTCTATCAATAGAGATGATATTTCCCTAGATATGTTATGTCCTAAGAATTTGATTTTAGTCTGACATAAGCTTATTTTCTTAACAGATACAACAAGTCCTGCATTTTTTACAACATATCTAAATATTCTTATATGTTTAAAATGCTGATTAATATTTTCTGAGAATATAAGTACATCATCTATATATACTATCATAAATTGCATATATGGATTAAAGATTTCATTCATAATTTTTTGAAATTCGGAAGGAGCATTCTTTAATCCAAAGGGCATTACATTCCACTCATATTGTCCGAATGGAACATTGAAGGCTGTCTTATATCTATCCTTCTCATTTATTTGAATTTGCCATTAGCCAGATTTTAAATCAAATTTAGGGAAAATACGTATATTTTTTAATCTATCAAGCAAATCTTTTTTGTTGGGTATAGGATATCTTATCCATTTAAGTACTTTATTTAAAGGTTGATAATTTATAACAAGCCTTGGTACTCCTCTTTCTTTTTCTGCTGCTTTTTCTACATAAAAGGCTGAGCAGCTCCAAAGGGATGAACTTTTTCTTATTAGGTTCTTTCTGAGTAATTCATCGATTTCTTTTTTGTATATTTCTAATAATTTTGAATTCATTTGGATGGGTCTAGCTTTGGTAGGTATTTGACTTTCTTTAAACCCAACTTCATATGGTCGATTTACTATATGTTTTTTTCTAGCCCAAAAAGCATTTGGTATTTGACTACAAATTTCTTTTTCTATTTGAGTTCTAAGTTCGTCCATTTTCCTTTTATTTTCAAAAAGTAGCAATTCATCTTCTATTAACTTATATTTTATTTCTGTTTTTAAATGGCAGAGAAATTGTTGTTTATTTTTTACGTTTTGTTTGACATTGTTGATTTCTTTTATTTTTGGTTTATCTATAAATTCAAATTTAATTTTATGTCCATCTATTATAGATTCTATTCCAGTATGATCTATGGTTAAAGGGTAGAGTAGGTTTAAAAAAGGAGTTCCAAGAATAACAGATAGACTTAAACCTCTCACCATAATAAAAGGTATTTCAAAACAATTTCCGTTATTACACACAGCAGCATTAGATAATTTGTATTTAATCATAAGTCTACTTCCATCTGCAGTATTGAGTATTTGAGTGGTTTTATCAAAATATTTTTGTTGGGACCAACCCTTCATTTGTACAGTTTAAATCAGCCCCTGAATCGATGAGTGCAAGAGATTGAAAACTATATTCATTATTAACCATGATTTTTACTAAAGTATACTATTTCTGGGTTATGACTTTATTTATAAGATTTACATAGTTATCTTTTTTAACTGTATTAGAAGATTCCGGGAGTTCAGTGTCTTCTTTATAAGGTTTTATTAATTTATCAAATTCTAGCTCATCTTCATTGTCTGTTGTATCCACAGAAAGACTATTGTTTAATTCTAATATTCTTATCCTATTTTTTAGATGTTGTATTTCGGTTTTCACTTCATTAATTTCGTGTTTTAGTTCTGATATAGTAGGCTCCTTTTGTATATTATGGGTTTTATTTATTCTCTTCATTATTTCAGAAAAACTATATTCTTCTTGAGCTTTAATGAGAGGAGGAGATTTATTTTTTGTTTTAGCTATTTTTATGTATTGAGTTATAATTTATCTTTTATCTTCTGGGTCGGAAATTTTTTCTATTAAATCTAATATTAGGTTTTCTTCATTTGTAAGAGTATTACAAAAACAAACTGTCATTGGTTCATCTAAGTCAGAGCTAGTTTGTTCGTTTGAACTACTCCATATTAAATTTTCATCTTCAATTATTTCTGCTAAAGAATCAGAATCAGATGTGCTACTCTTTGAGTCTTTATCTATTTGAAGAATATCATATATTTGATTTTTAATATGGTGTTCTAATATTAAAGCATCAATCGTTTTTCTAACTCTACAATTATTTTTATAATGTCCAACTTTTCCACACAAGAGGTAAGACAATCCTATCTCTCTCACGCACCAGAGGTAAGACTGTTGCCCATCTATCTCTCTACATCTCCATCTCTAGCTTTCTCTAAACATTCAAAACAATAAATCCGAGGCTTAATTGGAAGAGCTTTTGAGCCTTTGCCTTTGAACAGTTGAGAACTAGTTTTTTACATTGTGACCTGATTTTTTGAGGAATGAGGTTTGCATTATGACCTGATTTTTGCATTCTCTCTAGTTTCCTCTGTTTTTTTGTTATTGAGCTACCATTGTGACCTGATTTTTTAGGAATGTTTGATTATGGTGCTCTATATGTAGGTGATCTTGCTTTTGTGACACGGATGCTTAATCTATTGTATTGCTTTTGGGCTGTTGGATTACTTCTGTTCTTTTGCGTTTTAATGTTGTTTTGCCTCTCATGACTGGAAATTGCTATGAGAATTTGCTGAATATTTGTATCTTTCCATCTCCATTTCTAGCTTTTGTGATAAAGATTCTAGAAAGCCAAGATTGCATCATCATCTGCATCATTTTGCCCTCTCTCTCTCAAAATTCATGCAGTATTTGATCCATTTTGCCCTGCTCTAGTCATGATAATTTAGTTGATACCTGTTTTTGTGGTCCGTTATGGCTTATATATCTATGGTGAAACAATTTTTTGGCTCCGCAAATTCTCGTGGATATGATGTTGCTTTTTTTTTTGGGTTTCAATTTGCAATTGATTTCTTTTTCTTTTTCTTTTTCTTCTCTCTCTCTCTAAATGCTTTCTTTTAGTCTCTCTAGTTTATTGCCGTAACTCTCACTATTTATGTTTAAAATTAGGCCCCCTTTAACTTGAGTTGATATCAAATTTATTTGTATCAACAATTATTGTATTATCTCCCTCGCGAGCATAGTTTACTTCTATTCAGGTTGCCACAACATGGTGTTTGATAATAAGTTCTCTATATCAAGAGCATTATTTTTCTCTCTATAAAGGGTCTTCTTTTTCTCCCCTCCCCCCCCTCTCTCTCTCTCTCTCTCTGTCTAGGAAAACTCTAGATCTCTTTCGTAGCCCTCCCATCTTTAGCTTTGCATTTGCTATACACAATGCTATATACATAGTGCAGTATATATTGTACTACAAAAGCATCGGTAAGCTCAAAAACCAGAACAGGATGTACTATAAGTGTCTGGGTTTTTTAATGATGTGATGAATATGTTATCGTCATGCAAAATGTCAATTTAAGGCATCGTAATACGCAATAGTAAAATCCAATGCGTGAAGCACAATAACGTATCATGGTCAATCAAGAAGCAAGTGTTGGCCATGATACGATACTCGATGTCATAGGACGTTTGCAACAAATATTACTCGGTGCCGTTGGACGTTTGCAACAATTTTTGTATTTGATGTGTATAATAAATGTGTACTTGCTTGTGCTCATCATTTTTATTTTTTTAGTCTTTATTTGAAAAATGTGATAGTTTTTTTGGGTCGCATATTTACTAATGTAATTATTCCCATTGTGAAATTCAACTCATTTCCGATTATGATTCATGTTGTAGTTGAAAGTAACAAAAAGGTTATTTTGGTGCCATTTGAAATTGAATTTTACAAGAACTGAAATAATTGAACAATGCATCATATATAAAATAATGAGAAAAATTTTTTAGGAAATTCCACACAAATCTTATGTTTTAATAGCAAACAAAAAACTACACTACAACATTTGCTCACGAATGCATGGACAAGTGAGGAGTCTCATAGATTATCTTCCACCAATGTTTCTCCATTAATATAGTGTAAAGAAATGATTTTCAGGATCAAAAGCAAAAAAAATATAAAGCGAAGTCTAAACAGCTCAGATAACAAGCTCTATTTAGATTATGGACCTAAATAAGAAGTATATTACAGACTGAACAATCTTTAATCAGTTGAAGCCCACAACTGCTCAACACAAAACCTAATACGGATCCATTTGTTAAAAACAGAGTTCAATCCAGAACAGGATATTGTCTAATGTGCATTGAGGGCAGGCAGTATCATTAAAGTAGTGCTCAAAACTTAAGTCATATTGTCTACTGTGCAAAAATGATTCAAAAGGAATGCCGCACCAATCAAACTATAAGCCACCAAGATTCTTTTCCTTAACATCCATAGAGGCCATTCTTAAATAATGTACATATTACATGCATAAAAAATACATTGAACAAGAAGATGACAAATTTGCCAACACTTGACCTCCCTCTTGCTAAATTGGGCCACTTTCTTCGACCAAATTCCAAAAGGAATGCCCTTACATCATTAGGCAACCCCAAAAAGATCACTAAGATTATCTAAAAGAGTTAGCACTGAACATGGTAAAACAATGAGTTCGAGTATTATATTCGAACACCAGCAACATGTAATATCTTCTTGAAGAAAAATCGACACATCTTCGTGCTGAATATAATATCTTCTTCCCTCATCCATTCCGAAGCCACTCTCTTTAGTGTACCAAGTGATGATAAACGATACAACAGCTCTGCCTCTGTTTCTTCTCCACCGCTAACCCAAGTCAAACTGAAAGAATAACCTACAAATTTTCAAGATTTAAGAAGGCAGCACGTGACTCATGATAGCCATAAATATACATATCCATAGCCATTAAGTGTTTGTGAGGGAAATGAAATTAACGGACCGGCCGATATGTATACTGTTTTGTTCATTTGAGGGATGCGAAAATCATGCCATAGTCATGTTATTCTCCCACTTTGCAATTCTTTTAAAGAAGATTAAGGGACCGTCCGATATGTATACTATTTTGTTTACTTGGAACACTATTACTTTAGCTAGAGAAAATACTCCTGTTGTGAACTGATATCCAATCCAATTTGTATGAACTTTACTAATGTCAAATGGGCATTTCTTTTGATGTGATTTATCATGTGTTCCAAAATGGTATTTTGATCTATGGTTTTCAGGTATACACAAAATCGTGTAAAAATTGTACCAAAATGAAAACTAAGAGGTTGAAAGAATGTGTCATCTCTTTCCTTTGGGCTCTTTTTTGTCCAAACAATATGCCACCAAATTGCACCCTCTACAAATGTGGACCTTCATGCACAACAGTTCTAGGGAAAACGATCATATTTCTTATAAGTCAAGTCATTATTAAACCCCTAAGCAGCAAACCAATGGTTGTTAAGCAAATCTCTAGTAAGAAACGCCTTGTGTATATTCATTACAATGAGAGACCAATGGTTGTTAAGCAAATTTTTAGTATAGGATTTTCAAAGCAAATATTCAGCAAATTCTCATAGCAATTTCCAGTTATGAGAGGCAAAACAACATTAAAATCCAAAACAACAGAAGTAATCCAACAGTTTAGTGGGCCAACCAAAGCAATGCAATAGATTAGGCATTAGTGTCACAAAAGGAACATCACCTACATATAGATCACCATAATCAAACATCATTCCTAAAAAATCAGGTCACAATGGTAGTTCAATAACAAAACAACAGAGGAAACCAGAGATAATGCAAAAATCAGGTCATAATGTAAACCTCATTCCTCAAAAAATCAAGTCACAATACAAAAACTAGTTCCCAACTGTTCAAAGGCTCAAAAGCTCTCCCAATTAAGCCTCAAATTTATTGTTTTGTGTGTTTAGAGAGAGCTAGAAATGGAGATGGAGAGATAGATGGGCAGCAGTCTTACCTCTGGTGCGTGAGAGAGAAAGGGTTGTCTTACCTCAAGTGCCTGAGAGAGATAGGGCTGCTTGGAGCAGCACCTCTGCGATTGCCACGTTGGGGTTCTCATGGGAGCTTTTTCATCTCTCAAACCCTGAGAGAGATCTACTGATTTAGAGAGAGAGCTACTGCTACTGATTTACAGAGATAGGGGGAGTTTTCGTAGGGGGGAGAGAGAGGGGAGTTTGGCGACTAGTTTAGGTGAGAGAGCTAATGGGGAGTTTTCGTAGAGCTATCACCACTGGCCTGATTCAAGGCCCATTTTCCGCCAGCAGAATTGTGGGCTTTGGTGTAGTTTCAAACAATCTTCCATATGCTCGTACTGTCTTCGATCTTATAGAATCGCCCGATGTCTTCATATACACCATGATTAAAGGATACTCCGAAACCCATGAACCAGAAAATGTAATTTCTTTGTATCCTATGAGTTTTCCTAGAGAGGGAGAGCGGAGCGAGAGAAAGAGATCTGCCGATTTAGAGACATCTGCTAATTGTCCTTTCTTTCACCTTGAACCAAGACTCAGAGGATTCTCAACTTTTCCAGGGCTTCGTGGAAGCAAAGATGAACCAACAGTCGTCGAGCTTGATGGACAAAAAGGAGAAGGATTTGATATTGATAAATGG